TAAATTCGTTATAACGAGGGAATTTCACTATTTAGAAAACGGGGAAGCCAGAATCCCTTCGGTATAACGAAAATTCGGTATAACGAGGTTCGTTATAAAGAGGTTTGACTGTACTTCGTTACAGTTCTGGACTTTATGACTATTTTTTTTCACAGAAAAGAATCGTCAAGTGTAGCGGTAGCCACGCGGAAAAACCGAAAGAGGGCACGTATGCGTCGCAGAAAGCCAGAACATAAAAAGATGGGATATCGGATGGATGGAATATTCCGGATGTACATTGGTGATGTTGAATATGGAGCGATTGAAGTGGCCAAGAAGTTTGATACAACCAAACTGCTGACCGATGGGTTTAAACTGATGAAGGCTATGCATGATATCTTTGTATGCTTAAGTGAATAAGTCCGTTTCGAAGAAAAGAAAGTAAGGCAACTGCGAGTTGCTGGTATGCTTCACATGGGTAAATGAAATAATGAATCTGCAGTTTTTAATACTTTGTTAACTGATTTAATTTGAGTTGTAGGCCTCAAATTGCAAGTTTTACAAATGAGTAGTCCTAAGGGATATATAACAATATTAAAACGAGAGAAGATCCTTGATGTGCCAGTTATGGCCGAAAAAATAAAAGATCTTATCAGGGTGTTGGCTAATGTGTGGAGAATGAAGGTATTATTTATTTTCCGTATTCGTCAGTTTCATCAGAGAAATGTACTATTTACTCATTAACTTCTATTTACAAATAGAAAATGATCATGGATTGCATGGAGGTAGTGAACATGAGAACCCAAGATCAGACAGATTTTCTGCGAGAAATAATGGGCACAGATACTCCACCAATTACAATTTTTATTCCATGTTACGATATAAAGAATAAATAAGGAGGCGTAGTCAGAAAGTTTGATTAAATGATACAGTGACTCACAAAACTGGCTCAATGTTTACAATTATTAAATATAAAGACTTATAACTCCATGAATACTCAACCAATTTACAATTGTAATAATAATTTAATTAAAAATAAAACTGCTTTCTGGCTTTTCAATACTCTTTGTTTTATTTGAAAAGGTCCACTACTTCAAAAGTTACATT